AAAGAGAGAGTGAGAGAGAGAGAGTGAATTTTTTTTTTATTTTTATTTTTTAGTTTCTCGGCGGACACAACATCTTTGTATGTGGTGCTGAGGATCGAACCCGGGCCGTACGCATGCCAGTCGAGCGCGCTACTGCTTGAGCCACATCCCCAGCCCCAAACCAGTTCTTTTATCTGGTTCAAGTACAGAGGATGTTACATCACACAATATGAACATTTCATCTCTCACTTACCTTAACTACAATCATTAACTATTTAAACTTATTATCCCCACAAGTAATGTCCTCTTCACACCATTGTACAGATTTTCAATTGCTTCCCTAATACACATTTTTGGACATACAATTGCCAGGTCAAAGGACTCTTTCCTAACTAACATCAATGGAGGGCCTACTTTGTGCCTCACACTATTCTAGGTGATAGGGAAAGAGAAAGAAATAGAGCCAACAATATACAATTCTACTGAGTGGGAGGTGGTTTAATTTAGTACTGACAGATATAGAGAGACCTGAGGTTGTCTTCCCAATTCACATGCATACACAAGTTTTTGTATGGACGTGTTTTCATTTTGGGGGGATATGTACCAAGAAGTGGAATTCCGGGCCACATGATGCTCTGTATTTAATTTTGTGGAACTGTTTCCAAAGTGACCGCATCATTTTACATTCCAACCAGCATCTTATGAGGGTTTCACTTTCTTCACATACTTAACCAACATGTTTTTTCGAAAACATCCTAGCAGGTGTGAAGTGCTATCTCAACATGATTCATAGATACATTTCCCTGAAGCTAATGATATGGAGCTCCTTTTCATGTGCTTATCAGCATTTGGATATCTTCTCTGGACAAACTGTATTTAGATTTTTTGCCCATCTTCTAATTGGGTTTTCTTTTCTATTGAGTTGAGAGGTGAGTGTGTGTGTTTTATAGATAGAAGTACTTTATCACATATGATTTGCAAAACTTTTTTCTTATACTTTGGGTTGACATTTCACTTTCTTGATGGTATTCTTTGAAGTATAAAAGTTCAAATTTTGGTGATGCCACATTATCTATTTTGCCTTGGTTGTTTGTGCATCCATGTCACCAAGGTTTTTGAAGACTTATGTCTCTGTTTCCTTCCGATAATTTTAAAGTCTTACATTTAGGTCTGTAATTCATTTTAATTGTAGACAGTGTGACATACAGGTCTAAATTCATTCCTTTGTGTATGGACATCCAGGTTATGCCAGGACAATCCACTGAAAAGACTTTTTTACTAGGTAACAGGCTTTGCATCCTTGACAACAATAAGTTGACCACAGAAATACGGCTTTCAGAAAACTCCATTTTACGCCACTATCTAAAATTATGTCAGTACCACTCTGTCTTAATTGCAGTAAATCTATAGTAGGTTTTCAAATCAGGGAGGGTGAATCTTGCAACTTTGTTGTGTTTCAAGATTGTTTTGGCTATTGTGGAAGCCTTTTTCCCCTACATTTTTATTAGGGCTTTAGAATTGTACATAATGGTGGTATTTGATGGTACATACTTGTACATGTGCACAACAATATAATTTGGCCAATATCACTCCCCAAGCACTCCCTCCCTCCATCCCCACCTCCCACTCCTTGGTCCCTTTCCTATATAGACCAAACTTTCATTTCCACCTTTCTTTTCCTTTTTCCTCTCTAGCTTCCGCATATAAGAGAAAACATAGCTCCTTTTATGGTTGAGTTTGACTTACTTTGCTTAACATACTGTCTCTAGTCCCATCCATTTTCCTGCAAATGACATACTTTCACTTTTCTTTATGGCTTAATAATTAACTCCATTGAGTACACATACCACATTTTCTTTACCCATTCAACCATTGGACAACTAGGCTAGTTCAATAGTTTGGTTATTGTGAGTTGTGCTGCTATAAACATGGATATGCACATACCACTATAGTATGATTTTAATTCAGGAAAAATACCAAGGAGTGATATACTTGGGTCATACGGGATTTCCATGCCTAGTCTTTTCAGGGCCCGCCACTGTGATTTCCATAGTAGTTGCACTAATTTACAATCCCACCAACAGTGTAAAAGTGTTCCTTTTTCTCCACATCCTCTTTGCAGGAGACTTTCATTTCATTAGAATTATAGCACCGTCTTGTAATTTAGGGAGATAAGTAATTAGAATTTTGATAGGGTTTGCAACGAGTCGTAAGATCTCCTTGGGGAGTATAATTGACACTAATAGTAAGTCTTCTAGTCTGTGGATGTGAGATCTGTGTACATACATGCATGCACACACATGTGCTCCCAAGTGTGCACATATACACGTTAACAAATACACACACATTTGCACGTGCATGAAAACACACACACAATGGGTAGGTATGAGCACCTCCTTCTTGCTACTCTCCATTAATACCATGCCATGGAGAAAGGCACTGTGATCAGGACAAACTATGCATTCCTAGGACATACCGTTGGCCATGGAATTGCCAGGTCAAAGGATGCTTTCCTTACCAACATCAATGGAGGGCCTATTCGGTGCCTGACACTGTTCTAGGTGCTGGGGAGAAAGCAAAGAAAATAGTGAACAACAGTCTCCCTCTACTGAGGGGGAGGTGGTAGAATTTAATGATCGATGCAGACACAGAGACCTGCAGTTGTCTTGTTGATTCACAGTTCCATCAGTGATGAGGGGAAGGAATGTCCCATTCTGACATCCTAAGTACCACTCCCGGGGCAGGGGATCCAGTTAGGAGGCTGGACTCTACACTAGGCACTCTACAAAAACAGGAATATGCAACTCGTGCATTAGACAATATTAGGAGAAGTGAGATGGGAATGGAATCGTCCACTGAGCAGTGTCAAGGTCACAAAGGCAACACCCATTGGATGTACTGTCGGGGGTGGGGTGGGGGATAGAGATGAAAAGACTCATTAGAAACAGCCTAAAATTAGCACCAGGGACTGAAATGGAGCAACTTATATTCCACGCACGTATGAGTAGGTCAAAGGAACCCCACTATTATGTATAACGATAATGCACCAATAAAAAACAATTTTAAAAAGAAATAGCTTGAAACTGCCCCTTCTGGGAGAATCACAGACACTGGGGACACTGAGAAGTAACAGGCTGGATGAAGAGGGTGGGTGAAACCTCCCTGCACTGAAATGTACCACTAAAGGCCCAGATGAAGCAGTACACTTTGGGAAAGACCACTGGGGAAGGGAGCCTTGTATTTTAAAATAAACCATTCTGTGTCATGTGTATTGGGCTCCCCACCAAGCAGGAACCTCCATACATCTAGTCAGGGTGAGGCCTCTGAAGACTCTCAGGTCACCATCATTCCATTTATGGGCCCAGCTATTTGGCTCTACAGATCCAGCCCTAGTGCAGCCAGGAATAAGGGTGAAGACATAAGTGAATGGTTCCAGGGTGGAGCAGCAGGGCAGAAATTAAGGATGACACTAAAATCTATTTGGTTAATGTGATTGCCCATTCAGGATCTTCCAGGTTCAAGAGCATGCATAGCCTGGGTGTCAGAGGTGTTGTTTGGAAGCTTACATCCCTAAAGGTGGGGCTTCCAATAGCAAAGTGGAGATGGATTGGGAGAGTTCAGGATCCTGCTCTGGAACGTCAGTCGACTCACTAGTACAAAAGGCTGAAGGTATTACCAGGTCAGTAAGATCACTGGCTCATTGATAAATGCTTACTGGATCCCATTATATTGATCTGAAAGCCCAATATCAGTTTACAGACACATCAAGAAAACCATTCACAGTCAGAAATATGTTCCCCAGAATACCCTTGGGTGCAGTTCAAAGAGGATTGGGTTCCTCCAGAACCAGTCCCGATTCCTCCAGGGAGACAGCAACCTGATCCATAAAAAGAAGTAAATGCTTAAATGATGTGTTTTTAGGCATTAAGCAGCAGAGATATTGAGAGCATCTTGGTAATTAGGGCTTAGGTGGATTCTTAAGGAAACGAATTTATCACCAGGCATCAATTAAGCCCTGACTTTGTTCAAACATCTCCAGAAACGCTGCAGGTATGAGACCGAGTCCTCAGGGAGTAGAGATCCACCAGGGGATCAGATATGAGCCAGTGTGTGTCTCCCAAGAAGATGAGGCCCACCAGCAAGGCCACATCAGCCTCAGTGCCAAAACAGCACAGCCTCCCAGCTGTGACTGCCCATGAACCAACAGTCCTACACCAGGGTTGCTCTCATGGACTATGTGCGGGAATGTATCTGCTCTGTGTCAACTTACACTAAGGTATGTGCAAGTAAAGAGATCCTCACACCCCATTCCCTTTATACCTGATTTATGAATTGGGAGGAGGGGACAAGCGTACTCAGAGGACAGAAAGGACTGGGAGTGAGTGGTTGATGAGGGGGTGGGGTTGTTCGGTCTGTGCCATATAGCCCTGGCACTCTGCGGCAAACACTTCCTCCATCTCCCCCTTTAATCTTGAGTCATTCATGCTCAAAAGATCTGCAGATGGCCATCTGTTCAGGGTTGAGGAGGGCAGAGGAAATCAGGGGGCTCCTGGATCCACATGCTCAAG